GCTTGAAGTATTGACGATTGAAATGAGGGAAGTAACAAAATCATCAGAGACCCTCAGACAGTAGAGCAGGGTGTATCAAGAACTGCAGAGGGAAAGTCGACCTTGTAAAACCAACATCTCAAACAGAAAATGACGTGAGCAATGAAAGCTGCAAGTGAATGTTCTTGGTTCTGTGTCAGATGAATGAGTTCCTGGCTCCTCACCATCCCGATACTGAGAGTGACCAGGACCCGTTGAGCTTGCTATGATTACTCCAGCAATGTCTACAAATCGAAAAAGGAGATCGTATGCCTATCACCATTGACTATGTGATATACTAATATGTTAGTACACTGGTATTCTAGTCAGTTTCTTGACTGGAAGAGTTTTCTGCACCTGCAGCCATGCAGATGCTTCTCAGGCTACCGCCCTCCCTCACTGCTACATGCTTTGCATACATATGCTTTCAGAACTATGGCCCTTCTTTGTCATTTTACCCTGGGGCACCCAGGATCTGGTGTGAGAGAGAGAGAGGAGATTCTTTCTCCCCGGAGTGCTTACCGAGTGCCACTCTTCTTCACGCCTCGTCCATGGCTCAGGCTACATGTATGGTCAAAGGACAGGTTGTCAGTTCTGGTGTGCAGCTCGTGTGGCCATAAAGTGTTTTTCAAGCATTCTGCTGTTGGTGCTATGGCTGCTTTCCTTTGATCATTGGTCTTTCCTCCCACACATAGTGTCGGGGTGGTAATCTTATGTTGGGCGTTACCCAGGGAGAGTTGTGAGTGCCAAGTTGCAACACAAGGTTGAAATTTGCTGTACATCAGGATTAGCATAGGTAATCTTCTCTGTATCGTTCCAATTTTAATGGGATGCCCCAGGATGACACCTATATACCGAGAAAAATGCTCCAAATTAAAAAGGAAAAGGATCAGCATAGGTATAGCTACCCACTGAGTTTCCATATTGATAAGGAAGATGGATGATAGTGCTGCAGTCCAGACTCTGTCTGAGTAATCATAGCAATCTCAACGGGTCCTGGTCACTCTCAGTATCGGGATGGTGAGGAGCCAGGAACTCATTCATCTGACACAGAACCAAGAACATTCACTTGCAGCTTTCATTCCTCGCATCATTTTCTGTTTGAACAGAGAGAGTTTTTAGTAGGTTCTTACGTCTCTTCTTGGATATATGTATATATATATACAGAGAGAGAGAGAGAGAGAGAGAGAGAGAGAGAGAGAGAGAGAGAGAGAGAGAGAGAGAGATTTTGTAGGAGGTTCTTACATCTCTTCTTGGATATATGTATATATATATATATACACACACAGAGAGAGAGAGAGAGAGAGAGAGAGAGAGAGAGAGAGAGAGAGAGAGAGAGAGAGAGAGAGAGAGAGAGAGNAGAGAGAGAGAGAGAGAGAGAGAGAGAGAGAGAGAGAGAGAGAGAGAGAGAGAGAGTTTAGTTGGTTCTTACGTCTCTTCTCGATTGCTGAATTCTGCACACCTAGGATTGCCAATCAACTGATGAACAGGTTGAGCTCTGTTGGCTACAAGGATGGTAGCTCCTACCTGGGTTTGAATCAAGCAGAGAATGGGAATGCAAGGGGTGAGGGGCACTGTTTCTGACAAAACCTGGTTGCTTATGGTTGTCTCATATGCAGGAGGAAGAGCGAGTTGTTACCAAGCAAGATGCCATAGCCTTTGCACGACAATATGGATGCCTGTTCATTGAGTGCAGCGCAAAGTCGAGTGTTGGTGTGCAGCAATGTTTTGAGGAACTCGTGCGAAAGGTGGGAATTACCCTTCCAAGCTTCACTAGCCAAACCTCACACATAGCCTTCTTTCTATCCTCGTATTAGCATAGTCTGCTAGTTATAACGGTCTCCAGGAAAGCTCGATTAAGGGAATGGAACAGACCTTAAAATGTTAAACACATAATGCAAGAAATAAGGAAAGCTTTGCTGCTTGCAGATTGTCTCTTTTAGTCATGGTGCATCAAATGTGCTGCTCCTGTCTGCCCAAGGCAAGAATGTCTGATCTGTGTGCAGGGATTCAGATGCCAACGTTTCTCTCTGTTCGTATGCATGGCAAGCCCACTATCCTCTCATCTGTTAACGTATTTTATCGACGTTGAGATTTCACCAGTACATAATAGCAATGGAAAAGAAGAAAATTCAGCATCGTCAATATGTCCCCATTTTTTTGGGCCTTTTTTTAAGCATAAGTCCACAAAAGTGCCCTTTCGGCGATAAGAACTCTGACATGGCCAACTTGCCAACATGTCCAACTTCCAAGGAGGCAGAAGTGTGCATATGTCTGGTCTGATTGTAAGACAGGATTGGATTTTTTCAGTCCAGTCTTTCCTGGTGGAACTCAACTGAGGGCTTATTGTCAAGATCGTCAAGCGGGCTCCCACAAAATATGCAAGTATTATTGGGGGCTTCCGGGGACATGAATGCCCATCCAGGTGTCCCCCTCGTTTTTCACACTTCCTCAAGGAGGACCCTGTCCGACCACCCATCCAGATGTCCTGGATGTCCGGGTCTCAACCGTGGTTATGATCCTGCTCAACTCACGATGCAAAACTCAACTTTGGGACAATGGAGGATTTTACAGCTCAAGAAGTAGAAATAGAATAAGAAAGGAAGAGAGTGGAGAAGAAGAAGAAGAAGAAGAAGAAGAAGAAGAAGAAGAAGAAGAAGAAATACATAAGGTGCCATTTCCTCCTCCTGGCAGCAGTCATCATTCCCCTCACATTATCTTCTCCTCCCCTCATGCCCATTAATTTACAATAATAAATGAATGAATGGACAAGAATCAATGTCCGGATAATCCGCCTAACGGCCAGCACTCCGAGAGCTCTTCCTAGTGAATGAACAAGAATCAATGTCTGGATAATCCGCCTAACGGTCAGCACTCCGAGAGCTCTTCTTTCAGCCTCACTCTCACTCCTCTTCTCGAGGTTGCATATCTAGCTATGGTGGACCATCCATGTACATTATGGATGTTCAGAGGACAAGGCCACTGCTACTGTGATGCACTCTGGGATCATGTCCAAGTCTGACCGGTACCCCAACAGTGGAGATGAAGGTCCAGCATAGCCGAGGGTAAGTCCCTCCTGTTGCTTCCCTTCTTCTTCCTCGCCCTCATCCTCTACTCTAGTCCTCCAGCTATTGTCAAAGCCTGGCATGAGGTTCCTCTCCCTCCACCTCCATAGCCTAGGCCTACTAGGTCTTCTTCCTCACCCTCAGCTCCTGCTGATTCAGTCCAGAGATCTGCCTATAACTCTCTCTCAGGGTGGAGAAGCAGCATGACCACAGGGTGAATGCCCGGACTGCTCATTAAACCGTATGGTATACACTTTTGACTCTCTCCAGTGCCTCTACTCCCCGGCACTTCAGCCTCTACCGGTGCACTAGGTCCTACTGGAAGCTCCTGCCTTTTGGCAGGAACATCATTGCAGGCTGGAATCTGCTTCCAGGGCCTGAACCTAATCCGATATCCATCTAAATTCGGGCTGTTGACCATCATCGCCCCTTTGGAAGCTTCCGAACCTTTCTAGGCCTGCCCGAGTTGCCAGAAAATCCTACAGGTTTCCTACCAATTTCTGCTCTTGTCCTTGTCCGTCCCAGTGAAAGGATTTCACTCTGTGTCCATGTCCGAAGTCCCGGACCCTGAGTCCCAAGTCCCGGTCCCAGAGTTCCACCTGGGCCCAGTGAACCAGACCTCTTCATAATATTGAAATTACTAACGAAAGGGAAAAAGCGGGTGCCTCTGCTGGTTTCAAATACCATTGGGTTCTAGGAGTTCGACAGGGTCCAGACAACAGACTATCAGACTAGCAGACTTGCCATTGTCTTGGTAATGCCTTTGGGGAAAACCAAGAAACTGCCTTAGAGCTAGCTGTACATAAGCAATCCGTCCTGGCAGTGCTGTCGTCATGCCTCATGGCCCTCTGGCACTCTCTGACAGCCAGGAAGCAAAAGGGGAAAACGAAAGCAAGGAAGTGCAGATGTAGTTTGCTCAAGTTTGCTGGATACCATTGTCACGATCGTTGAGAAGGTACAGTCATGCCGAGAGCAGGGGGAGTGGGAGGGCCATGAGAAACACTTCCTTTGTCTTTTGCACTGGATGTACATGTTCAGAACGGGCCGGAGTCTCAGAGCCACCCAACAGAACACCACTCGCTCTCCCTGCCTTAGTTATCATGTGTTCGCTTCCTCTTTTGCTTTCGCCTGTCGGTGCTGTTTGAAGTGTTCTTTGAACTTCTTTCTCTTTTTGGTTTGCTTTTGTGACTTTCCACGAACATCCCGGTCGACACAAGACCTTCTCCTGAAGTGACTACTGAAATAATGGTTTCTTGAAAGGACCTGTATTGCAAGAATTGCAAGAGGCAGGCAATACATGTCCATAGGCCAATATTGATAGCACGATCGGTAATGGCTCCGTAGAGTCTGTACAGCTTACTTTCACGGAGAGTACGGAATGCCTGTCCATAACCTAGTGGATGGAACCCTGCATGTGTCTGGCTCAATGGTAGATTATTTCCTCACCCTCTGAAACACGGGTGGGATCCATATATTCAATAAAGATTGTGGATCGTCCTTGCTGTAGCGGGCTTGATCGTAGGCCTTTTTTTTTTAACGCAAGAGCGGCAAATGCAGATTTGTTTCCAGGTAGTGTTAAACGACCAGTACATCGGCAAGGCAAACTTGAGAATCGATGTTTGAGCCAATCCACGGATTTCGGGTGAACATGCGACCGGGCCAAAATGGCTTGCGGTGCCAGGCAAAGAAGGGAAAAAAGTTGTGCCAATGGTGGTTTGGGGCAAAGCTTGGCGCGCAGTGCAAATCGGCCATCTGAGGCACAGGCTCAAGAACTGGACAAATCGCTCTCGCAAAAAGAAGTACACTCCTCCTGAGAAACAAGTGAAAACCGAATAGAACACCCTGGGCAAGATGGGTTAAAGGAGTTTTGGCAAATTCTATTCGCCAGTCTTGGGCGGAGAACACTTGACCCAGAGGCACTGGACCCAGTTTCCTGCTATTATAATAAAGCTGATTTTGCGAAAGAAAGAAAGAAAGTAAGAATGTCCTTCGGGACATCCGTTAAAATTGGAACGATACAGAGACTGTCTCTTATACACATCTAGATGTGTATAAGAGACAGGTCTTGGGCGGAGAACACTTGACCCAGAGGCACTGGACCCAGTTTCCTGCTATTATAATAAAGCTGATTTTGCGAAAGAAAGAAAGAAAGTAAGAATGTCCTTCGGGACATCCGTTAAAATTGGAACGATACAGAGAAGATTAACATGGCCCCTGCGCAAGCATGACACACATAGATTGAGAAATGGTCCATTTTTTCTTTTCAGAAAAAGAAAGAAAGGAAGAAAGAAAGTGAAAAGAGCGAATGAGCACATGCCTACATTGTTTTAGCTGACTGTATGTTTGCGCATTGGTGCTGTGCAGATTTTGGAAACTCCGTCATTGGTTTTGGATACTGCACCTGCTGGGACTGTAAGGCCTGGTGCTGATCAGAGCGTTGACGTAGCATCAGGTTGTCGTTGCTGAATTGGTGAGCATATGGCGGGAGGGTGGCCCACAAGTCCGGATTCTGTGTGCAGAGTGGGGTCAGGTGAGGTTCAGATGCGAAAAGATCCAACAAGATCATAAAGAATAAAGACACGTGATATTTGGCGGAGGGAAAGGGGTGATTTGTTTTTTGGGCAAGCATGCTCTTGGGAGACAGGTTTGCATATGTCTTGGCATCGGAGGATGGGCGGGTGTCAAGGAGGGGAGAAGCACCATTGTCAAGAAAAGGTAAGCTAAAGCTGAACTACCATGTTTCCGTTGCTGGCCCACTTTTTCCCACCCTTGGAAATCGGTTTGGTTTCCGCATCACAGCCCTTCACGCTTGGAAATCGGTTTGGTTTCCGCATCACAGCCCTTCACGCAAATGGAAACGGGGGAAGATGAAGAACAGAAGCAAATTGCATTGTCGTTGATTTGAACCTTGCTGGTGGATGAATCGGTGGATGGAATGGTGAACGGATAAAATGCGCTGAAGTTCTCAAACATATAGGAAGTTAGGAACAGTAGAAAGCGCTAGCAACCTGCTTTTGATGCAGAATGAGCTTGGCAATTTGTGAAACAGGAACAATCATTGAAACACTGCTCGTGTTTCGACAGGGCTTGCTTCCGCGAACGGAAGATGCAAAGTGAGGGAGATTGGAATCTGTTCACTGCATTGAGGCAGGCTTCTCATATAGGCAATCAAGAGGTGAGGATCTGCTTGCAGTTTTGGACAGACTTTTCCCGAATTAGAAACAAGGCTTTTGTGTCCTTCTCCTGTTTACCGTTGTATTCTTTCTGTATGAGAGAGAGAGAGAGAGAGAGAGAGAGAGAGAGAGAGAGAGAGAGAGAGAGAGAGAGAGAGAGAGAGAGNAGAGAGAGAGAGAGAGAGAGAGGGAGGGAGGAGTGAAGTGTGTGGTTGGCTAGGTGCTTGAGACTGGCAGAGTTGATGCAACGGCGTTCAATTGCCAGCAGACTTTCTATCAGCAGTTGGACCGTGCATGGCCGTGCATACTTGGAACGCACAGTAGTTTTGTGTGTTCCTTGCGCTTTTGAATTGATGGAGGTCTATTATGTCACATTGTGAGGCATTAAGGTCTAGAATTTGCAGCAGAACAGATCCAGGCCGTTGATATCTTCTCCAGATGTGTCCTGGCATTGAGTCCCATTTGGCGTATTTATGTGCCTATCGCAGGTGTCTTCTTGCCGTAAAAATCCTCCTCCTCAGCCCTCCAGAGGGTCCATGTATACTGTTTTGGTGAGCAGGAGTGGGTGGGTAAATTTGGCAATTTGCCTGAGCAAACTATGTGCCTGTGAGAGTTCTTATGTCATGTTTTTTTTTTTTTTTTTACTTTTTTTGTCCTTGTTTTTTTTTTTTTTTTTTTTGCTTTTTTTTCTGTTTTCTCTTTGCTTTGGCTGGTTCAAGGCAGTTATTTAATATATGAATCAATATGATTGTAATCTCTCTCTCTGACACACACAATGACACTTTTCTGCTCAACCAAACAAGTCTGGGAAACCTTGAAGTGCCAGTATTTGTGGCATTCTCTCTCTCTCTCTCTCTCTCTCTCTCTCTCTCTCTCTCTCTCTCTCTCTCTCTCTCTCTCTCTCTCTCTCTCTCTCTCACAGACACACAGGCGCACGCACGCGCGTGCATGCGCGCTCACACACACACACAAACACGTGTGCACACACAAACACACACGTCACAGACACAGGCACACGCACGCGCGTGCATGCGCGCACACACACACACACAAACACGTGTGCACACATAAACACACACGTCACAGACACACAGGCACACGCACGCGCGTGCATGCGCGCACACACACACACACAAACACGTGTGCACACAAACACACACGTTCTCTCTCTCTCTCTCTCTCTCTCTCTCTCTCTCTCTCTCTCTCTCACACACACACA